ATGCCATTTTCACATTGACATGCCAGTTGTCCTTACCAGGTAATACTCTGCATGTATAGTCTCATTTAAGGGCAATACAGTTACCACATGTATTGGTAAAGAAACTGCAGCTCAGATAGGGCAAGCATCTTGTTCAGTGTCACTCAGCCTGAAGTGACAGCGGCAGGCCTTGAACTCAAGATTCTCTGTCCTGGAAGGCAGCAAGAGACAGTTTTTGAAAGAATGTCTAGAATTCTGCCCAGGGGGCTGGAAAGATGGCTCAGTAGAATAAGTGCCTCCCTGGCAAGCACAAGGGCGTGAGTTCAATCCCTGGTTCTGCAAAAAAAAAAAAAAAAGAATTCTGCCCAGGCTGCCCAGAAACAAAGGAGTCCTGGATACTCCAGCCTGAGCCCCTCATGGCTCCCACCCCCTCACCACTTCCAGCAGTACCAAGGATCCTGCTATCAGTCACAAAGCTGGCAGATTGTAACTCACACCATGCTGGAGTCTGCAGGATCCACACAACGGATGACAAGTGATCCCGTAAAAGATGGGCAATTTACCAGGTTTAATTTGATGGTCACATAAACTATCAAACACACAACAAGGAAATAAAAAGGCCACCAGGCACCAGGACAATTAAAAGCTCCCCCGAGGCATGCTGTCTCCCTCCCACCTCTGTCAGCCCTATTCCCAGAGCCAGAGGGCTGGCCTTGGGGAAGAAGGTGGCAGGAAAGACACTGGCCAAGATGGCCAAGATGGATGAGGCAGCAGACAGGGGAAACGGAAAGGCCTTGGGTCCCTGCCTCCCAAATGCATCTCTGCTATCCATCAAGCATCTCTGAAAGGTACAATTTAGACTCTATTATGATGCCGGGCCTCTGGAGGCTGGGACTGGCTGTGAGCTTAGAGGGTACTAGGAACAGATGTCCACATCAGAGCACAGTGGCTGGCCATGGCTTGGCCTTAACAAGCCTGGCCCCTGCTCAGGGAACTGCCCTAGAACAGCTAAGGGCAGAGGCCGCAGTGTCCCCTGTGCTGAGTACAGAGCTGAAAGACCAGAGGTACATGTTCTCTGGTCAGATGTTTGGCCTGGGTAGAAGTTTCCCTGTGCTCAGACCCTAAAGACCAGGGCCACGTGGTCCTTGAGAGACCTGCGCCTTCTCACCCGCCCTGTTCCATCTGCCTCCATCACAGGCCACTGAAACAGGATCTCCAGACTCCATGACCTTCACGGTCCTGGCTCTGTGAAGAAGGGAAAGCTGTGCAGCCAGGAGCCTGGGCCGGCTGGGCCCTTGCAAGGCCTCTTACCTCTCCAAGCCGCAGGGACCAAGCACCTATGTAACATAGCAGACCACTGCCTGTGATGAGAAAGTGGGTCCGGTCTGGACTGAAGTTTGCCCCCATGCCTGCGTTTCCCTGTCCCCTGAAGGCGAGAATGGGTCTGCACACTGCCCTCTGCTCCCTCCAAACCTGTCCTGTCCCACAGTCTTCTGAGAAAAGTAAGGTGATCAAGTGAGGGCTGGACAGCCTGTGATACCCACACCTCCTTCCATTCTGTTTGGACTGTGGGCAAAGCACAATGGAAAACAGCTGAGCCCCATGGTCAGGGCCAGGGAGGCTGGGGGCAAATCTGCCCTGCCCCACCCTCCTGCTTTGGGACCAGAGCAGGTCTCTGTGCCTGGTTTTCTCATCCATTCAACTGGTGGGCTGGCCCTGGCAGAGAAGACACTCCCAAACCTATTCCTTTATACCATTTGCCTTGTTATCTTTTGCATTACTTGGGATTGAACCCAAGGACAGTCTACCACTAAGCTACGTTATAGTCTTTTTTACTTTATATTCTGAGATAAGGCCTCATTGTGTTGCCCAGGCTGGCCTTGAACTTGTGATCCTCCTGCCTCTGCCTACCAAGTAGCTGGGATTACAGGTATGAACCACCACAGCCTGCTTTAGACTTTTTTTTTTTTTTTTTTAAGTTGAGCAGCACAGCAGTTGGTGGTAAACACTGTATTGACAGAAGCAGTGTTTTGGGGTCATGATTTTGGTTTGTGTTTTTGAGACAGAGTCTGAGGATGTAGTTTAGGCCATCTTTGAACTCACTGTGTAGCCCAGGCTGGCCTCAAATGTTCAGTAATACTCCTGCCTTGGCCTCCTAAGTACTAGGATTACAGGTGTGTGCCATCATGCCTGACTGGGTCACGATTTTACATAGGGTAGTTAGGGAAGGCCTCACTGAAGGCAGGGAGGCAGTGAGTGTGTGGACCTGAGATGAGCTCCAAGCAGAGCAGAGGGAACAGCATGTGTAAGGGCCCTGGGTTAGCAGGTATGCCTGGCTACTGCAATGAGGAAGGAGTACAGTAGGTCCCATGGGACCTTGACAGCTACCATATGGTTGTAGAGGGTTCTGGGCAGAGGAGTAACATGAAGAATTTACCAGGTAACTCTGGATGCCCAGGAAGGGATGCAGGGCTACAGAATGTGTTGAAAGGCTCAGGAATGGAGATGAGAGAGCCAAGAAGTCCTGCTGGGGCCAGCTGGGGAGCCAAGTGCTCAGATAAGCATCACCAGGGACACAAAGTCAACAGCCAAATCCTGAGGCCAGGTATGGAGCAGTTTCCCGCCCACCACAGAACCCAGAGCCAGGGAAAGTGCTCTGCACCTGCAGGGGTTGGGTGGGTGGGACAGGCAGTTGTCCTGAGCCCTGGGCCAGTGAGCACCAGCAGGAGGACCCTGAATTTCCTAGCTCCCTGACCTCTGCTGTCCTCGAAAGGCACCTCACCCTCCACTGCAGGAGCTGCTGGGTGCCAGCTCACTTGGCTCCAGTCTGGGTGGTACTGGCTGGTACTCAAGCTGCCCTGGGTCTACCTCACAAACCTTAGGTCACTGGGGCTGATGTGAGGTACATGCATTGGCAAATCCAGGGCTCTAGGAGGCACTGGAGCTGCTGAGCCATGGGAAAACAAGAGGAGCTGAGAGCACAGGAACAGTCCTTTCTGTCTTCAGATGTTACTAACATCATGCCACGTTAGACCCATACAGGTCACAGGCCCCACTCTTAAGTACCTGCCATTTAGTCAGGGGTATTAAAAACCAGTTACCCATCAACAGTCCCACTGCCCATGGACAGCCCCAATCTAGTGGTGGCCAACACTCTGGCTTGTGTCCCAGATAGGCTGGTTTCCTCCTCAATAATTTTCAAGCAGCCTTGAGTAAGTGAATGTCACCCAGCTGTAGTTTTTGTGTCTGTTACATGGGCTGAGAGGGCACCAGGTTCATTTTGCTGGAGGGTTAAATGATATACATATTCAGACAGCTCTAAGCACGGGCTGGTTATGGTTTAAACAACCATCCCATGAAAATGGGATCCCAGGGGCCAGTATACACTGGGTGCTCAGTAAAGATCTGGTGGCTGGATGAAGAGACAGATGCAGGGATGGGCAGGTGTTTGGGTGGGTGGATGGAAGATTGGTGGACAGGTAGGTAGACAGGAGACGGATAGGTGGGAAGGCAGATGGATAAAGGTTGGAGAGGTAGTTGGGTGGGTGGATACATGGACGGACCAATGGACAGTCTGATGCAAGGATGAGTAGGTGGACAAAGCAGGGGAAGCTCTATCTGGGGCATCTGTAAGACCTAGCAGAGGAGCAGACATTTGAACTGTGTTCTAAAGGATGAAGAGTTGTTTGCTGAGCAAAGAGGAGAAGCCCAGAGATAGAAAAGGACAGAGAAGGGAGAGCAATGTGGCAATGCTGACAAATGGAGGCACTGTTACCATGCTATGACAGTGAGGTCCCCATGGGCTCATTCAGTGGCTCCAGGTTCCCCTCCCAACTCCAGGGCTGCCCTCTCAGGCTTCAGTCCCAGAGACTATTGTGTCCCATAACCAAAGGTTCCTGGCCCCACTTGTATAACAACAGACCTCTGTCAGCTGCATGATGATGCCTTCTCTACTGAGGCTGAAAGATATTTTCTTTTAATTGATTGTGGTTTTTGCCACCATGAACAGTAAAATAATATGAGAAAAATCTATGCTGTAATTTTTCTATTTGTGAAAATTGAAACTACACCTTGCAGATAATTCCCTCAGAGTGGAGACATTTCCCTCCCTCTTTTGTCTCATTTCTTTAAATGCAACAAAGCTGATGCATATGTGTGTGTGTGTGTGTGTGTGTGTAGTGTATATGTTCTGTTTTGTATATGTTCTGTTTTTGTTTGTTTGTTTGTTTTTTTGTGGAATCACTGGAAGTTTCATGGTTTGGCAGGTGAGAATTCTACCACAGAACCACCAATGCCTATAGTTTCATGGTCTGGGAAAGAAGCAAGGTGCTGAATAGTTTCCCACACATCATAGAACATCAAGCTAAGAAGGGTGCCTATGATACAAAGCAATTTCTGTAAATACATGAAAAGGCACCTCTCTTGACACCTCCATCTTCTGTCTTCATAGTCTGTCTGTGAAATGTACGAGTTACAAACAGGCAGTGGTGTTCTACCACCAGACTATGAAGCCCTGCACTCTCCACTGCTCGTCAGTGACGACGCTGGCAGCTCCCTTCTGGCAGGTTCCAGTGATCCCCCTTTTCTGAGCTCACTGGCTTTCCAGAAGAAAGCTTTGCCTTTAGACCCTGGGCCTGTGCCAGAGAGTAATGTGTGTTCCCTGTTCCATTGAGAAACTGTGGCTCTGAGTCCATAAAACATGTTCTAAATCCACACCATCAACATTGACCAGCACCTCTGGGATAAGCCTAAAGATGGGCTGAGAGGTGGAGTCTTGGCAGGATTAGCTCAAACTCAGCCTGGCAGGCACTCAGTTCACCTCCCCAAGGTGCACAATCCCAGTATGGGCAAGGCTTCACTTCTGATAATGTTTGATATCGAGGCAGGAGGAGCTGAGTGCCACTGGAGTCTGACCTCAGCCATAAGCAAACCTGTGCCTCTGGCCAGCAGGTGGGCACATTAAACCTCTGGGCCTTTGTTCCTGACTCATCCTCATTGTTACCTGTCTTGTGGTCTTGCAGGTGTCAAGGCTGCACATCAGGTGACACTGGGCTCCCCCAGCCATCCACCATGGTGGTGGCACACCCCACTGCCACTGCCACTGCCACACCCACTGCAACTGTCACAGCCACTGTCATGATGACCACGGCCACCATGGACCTACGGGACTGGCTGTTTCTCTGCTATGGGCTCATTGCTTTCCTGACAGAGGTCATTGACAGCACCACATGCCCCTCTGTGTGCCGCTGTGACAATGGCTTCATCTACTGCAATGACCGGGGGCTCACCTCCATTCCCTCAGACATCCCTGATGATGCCACGACCCTCTACCTGCAGAACAACCAAATCAACAATGCCGGCATCCCCCAAGACCTCAAGACCAAGGTCAATGTGCAGGTCATCTACCTGTATGAGAACGACCTGGATGAGTTCCCCATCAACTTGCCACGCTCCCTGCGGGAGCTGCACCTTCAGGACAACAATGTACGCACCATCGCCAGGGACTCGCTGGCCCGCATCCCATTGCTGGAGAAGCTGCACCTGGATGACAACTCCGTGTCCACTGTGAGCATCGAAGAGGATGCCTTTGCCGACAGCAAACAGCTCAAGCTGCTCTTCCTGAGCCGCAACCACCTGAGCAGCATCCCCCCAGGGCTGCCGCACACACTGGAGGAGCTGCGGCTGGATGACAATCGCATTTCCACCATCCCCCTGCATGCCTTCAAGGGACTGCACAGCCTGCGGCGCCTAGTGCTGGATGGCAATCTGCTGGCCAACCAGCGCATTGCTGATGACACCTTCAGCCGCCTGCAGAATCTCACAGAGCTCTCGCTGGTACGCAACTCTCTGGCCGCCCCACCCCTCAACCTGCCCAATGCCCACCTACAGAAGCTGTACCTGCAAGACAATGTCATCAGCCACATCCCTTATAACACACTGGCCAAGATGCGTGAGCTGGAGCGCTTGGATCTGTCCAACAACAACCTCACCACTCTGCCCCGTGGCCTATTTGACGACCTGGGCAACCTGGCACAGCTGCTGCTCAGGAACAACCCCTGGTTCTGCGGCTGCAACCTCATGTGGCTGCGGGACTGGGTGAAGGCCCGGGCAGCTGTGGTTAATGTGCGCGGCCTTATGTGCCAGGGCCCTGAGAAGGTCCGAGGTATGGCCATCAAGGACATCACCAGCGAGATGGATGAATGCTTTGAGACAGGGTCGCAGGGTGGTGCAGCCAATGCAGCTGCTAAGACCACAGCCAGCAACCACGCCTCAGCCACCACGCCCCAGGGCTCACTGTTCACCCTCAAAGCCAAGAGACCTGGGCTGCGCCTCCCTGACTCCAACATTGACTACCCCATGGCCACAGGCGATGGCGCCAAGACCCTGGTCATCCAAGTGAAGCCCCTGACAGCAGATTCCATTCGCATCACATGGAAGGCAACGCTCCCTGCCTCTTCCTTCCGGCTCAGCTGGCTACGCCTGGGCCACAGCCCTGCAGTGGGCTCCATCACAGAGACCCTGGTTCAGGGGGACAAGACAGAGTACCTGCTCACCGCCCTGGAACCCAAGTCCACCTACATCATCTGCATGGTCACCATGGAGACTGGTAACACCTATGTGGCTGATGAGACACCTGTGTGTGCCAAGGCAGAGACGGCCGACAGCTATGGCCCTACCACTACACTCAACCAGGAACAGAATGCTGGTCCCATAGTGGGACTGCCCCTGGCAGGCATCATTGGTGGTGCTGTGGCTCTCGTCTTCCTTTTCCTGGTCCTGGGGGCTATCTGCTGGTATGTACACAGAGCTGGTGAGCTGCTGACCCAGGAGAGGGCCTATAACCGGGGCAGCAGGAAAAAGGATGATTATATAGAATCGGGGACCAAGAAAGATAACTCTATCCTGGAGATCCGTGGCCCTGGGCTGCAGATGCTGCCCATCAACCCATACCGCGCCAAAGAGGAGTATGTGGTCCACACCATCTTCCCCTCCAACGGCAGCAGCCTCTGCAAAGGCACACATACCATCGGCTATGGCACCACGCGGGGCTACCGGGACGGGGGCATCCCTGACATCGACTATTCATACACATGATGCCAGCCCACTGAACCCCAGCCCTGGCTGCCATCAGGAGTGGTGCCCAGCTCTGCCCAGCCCACTGCCATCCCAGAGAGCAAGGAAGAAAAACTAATCTCGTAACTCCCCCAGCAGAAAGCAAAGTTTAGGAAAAGTTGATGATTTTCTAGAACATACCAGTGGGAGGGGGAAAAAAACCACACATTTTTAAATGTTTTAAAAGGAAAGGGAATCTGACATTGTTGGAGACATAATTTATCCCAAATTATGCCAACTGGGGAGGGAAGAACAAAAATAATACCGAAGGAAGGGTTGGGTTGGGGATTTTTTTTCCTGAACTGGAAAAATACTACCTGTACAACGTTTGTGTACACCTTGCACTGTTTGGGGCTGTCACAAAAGAACCATCAAAGAGAAGCCACTGACATGCAGGTCCCCCTCAGCATCCTGCTACCAGCTGCTCACAGGCAACAATGCTATGGAAGATTTTCAGGCACCTCACAAAAGGAGAAGGGCAAAGAAAAGATCTTTTGCTCTGGAGATATTGTCCTGAAATCTCTTCCCTCGTTCTTTCCATGCCATTTCCCTGACAGATTTGCAGAAAGAGAAAGTCTTTCTTTCACTGCAGTCTTGGAACAATTAATATAGTCAATTAAAAAGAAAAAAAATCGAACTTTTTTCTTCCTCTGCTGAGCGCACTCCACTTCCGCGCACCTTCCTCCGTAGAAGCCCCGATGGAAGCTGTAGCTTTCCCTGCCACGTGGAGGTGCGTCTGTTTGCCCGTCTGTTTCTGTGTCCTGTCTCTCAGTGCAGATGGGTAGATAGAGCTGCGTATACCATCTTTACAGCACTTCTTGGGTCAGTTCTTAGCACTTCCTAAGACAATAGAGTTGAAAAAAAAAAAAAAATGTTGCTTTCTTCTAGAAATCATTGAGTAAGTAGCCCATATATCCGGGCTGGGCATGAGGTGAAGGGTGGAGCTGTGGGTTGGGTTGGGGTGTTGTTGTTCCTGGGGGCAGAGGCCAGTATATCCCTTCTCACCAAGGTGGCTCAGAGAGGGCCAGAGCTGGGCCACTGTCCTTTCTGATGTAGAGAAAAGCTTTCTTTTGACACGCAGGGTGCTCATTCTTCTCCTCCCCAACAGATGCAATCACCTCAGTAGGGCTTACTCGTGCATCCTCCTGGATAGGCAATTAGTGCAGGGACTTTTTTATATCCATATATATGTATCAGCTGATTAGACCTTTTGGTTTCCGTGACTGCTCAAACAAAGCCCAGAAAAAGACAATTTTCAGAAACTTCTTAGGAGACATCAACCCTCACATACACACACCAGTACAGAAAAAAGCCATGCCGGCTTCTGAGAGGAAAACCAGATCTCTTTCTAAAAATGCCAGCCTCCAAAAGGGTTCCAACTGGGGCCCTTAGAAGGCTAAGATTTTATTTTTTCCCTCTGGAATCAATGTCACTATCATTTATCAACTGACAGTGCAGTGTGGTGAGCCATGAGATTAAAATGATGATGAAATAATGACAGCAGATCAGGAACGGAGGGAAGCATGGTGCCTGGGGTTCCGAAGGCTGCTGCGTCCTGTACTCGCGGAGCTGAGGTCACCATCTGTCAGTGTGTCTCTTGCCCCGCACCAGGAAAAGACAACATCAAAGCAGAGGCACTGCTCCAAGGGCAGGAGGATGAGAAGGTCTGTTCCTGGCAGTGGCATTTTCAAAAAGCCTCTGCCACTTGGACCAAAGCAAAGGCAGGAAGAAGAGGCCGGGCAGCGATCACAGGGCTGCCTGCAGTGTGCCCAAGCGCAGTCCGCCTGTTGGACATTCAAAGACCCAACTGGCCCTTCAGCGAAGAGGTGGGTTGAAAGCAATGTTCCCGCTGCTGCTTGAGAGAAGTGGAGGGAGGCGCAGGCTCCTATTGTAGCCCAGGGATGGTCATCACCAAAGGGGACCCCAGCTCTCCAGGTCCAGGCATGGCCATGGGGCATAGATACTGTTCATTCCAAATGACCTTTCGCCCTTCTCTTTCCTGGATCATTTTCCCACACAATGAAGTCCAGAGTGAAACCTTCCCAAGCCTTAATTTCAGGTCTGTGTCAACATGTCCCTCCCTGCCCCTCCACCAGCTGCCCTAGCTGCAGCCCCATCCCTGGTAGCTCAGGAAGGAACGGGGGGACGTGACACATACCAGGGAGACCTAGCAAGAGGAGTGGTATGATGTGGGGGCATTGGCTAGTGGACTGAAGTTCTAGTTCTCTGCTATTTCTGAAGTGAGGGCCCCTCCCTTGAGGATGCCACTCTGGCCTTCTCCAGGTTCCAGAAAGTCAGCCTAGCCTTTCCTCTACCCAAGGCATCTTGCCTGCTTCTGCCAGCATGCTCCATCCTGCAGCTCTCCTGTATCTCTATTCTCCTTTCCTGCTCCAATGAAAGTTAAGCCATCCTTTGGTGGCAAGGAAGAAATTTAGGGACATCTGGTAACCTGGACCCTGACAGTGGCTGGGTGGTATACTTTCCGGCCCTGTCACACAGCAGGCTCAGGCCCGGAAGAGCCTGCCAACTGCCCAGGCACAGTGCCCAGGATGAGGACTGGATTGGTCCCCTGCATGGGTTTCTTGCACTTAATAGGGCTCAACGCAGATTAGTCAGGGCTGGGGATCCAAGGCCCTGCCTGTCCTTCAGGGGCACCATCCCCCAGCAGGGACACTAACGTTGGGGAAGGTAAGCACTCCAGCCAGGAGTTCCTCTGAAGGCCCTTCTTGTCTTTTCTGCCCTTTTGGTATCCAGACATTTCCCAGTGTTCTTCTTGAGAGCAAATCCCCAAATCTGCTTCATGGTGGCACCAAAGCCTGGTCACCTTTGAAACCCCATCCCCTTCTGGTCCAGCTCCTCCAAGCTGGCCTCTTAACACAAGATGGAGGAGGTTGAGGGCACCCAGTCTCCCCACCCCTTAGAAGTGTTCAGAGCCACCAGCCCAGCAATGACACCTCCAGGGACTAGTAAAACCTCCCTCTGTGTCTGACTACACTCCACACTCCCCCTTGAAAGTCTGCCACCAACCCGACCCTCAGTCTCTAAGCAGCCAGAACAACCTCATCACCCTGAGTGCTGATGAGTGTACTTTGTGGCATTTAAGGCAAGTTTAAAGTTTAAAAAAAAAAAAAAAGGCCCACGACACTTCTTTGGTTAAGTGGTTTACCCTTCGTGGTAATTAGATGTAGCGACTGGAATCTCCTTTCTATTACATGGCAATTTTCCTTTAAATTTCCTCTTTTTAAAAAAAAAAGGAAAGAAAGAAAGAAAAGGCAAAGAAGGAGAGAGAAGGCAGCAGGGCCATGTGTCATTTGCATTTTGCGAATGAGGCCTCTTGTAAGCTCAGCTCAGGCGTGGGGCCCAACGTATGGAATGCTTAAGAGATTACTAAGAATAAAATCTATTAATTAGTCATACTCAATTCTGCAGACATGATGTGCATCAAAAGCTCCTTTTCTTCCCTTTTCTGCTTCCCCCTTCCTGCACAAGCCTCCATCTTCACTAAATGGGCTCCATTTCCTGGCTGGCCTCTATGGTGACAAGGCGCCCACCCCTAGGGCCCAGAGAGGGGCTGAGGGTAAAAGCCGAGGCACTGCTTTTCCCCTGCTCTGGCTGATGCTGGCAGGGGAGGTGGCAGTCCCTGGGAAGACAGTAGTGGCTGGGAGGTTCCGGCCTTCCTTCCTGGAAGCCCGTCGTCCACCCAGAGACTCCCATCCCCCTTCTACAGGCACCATCTTTCCAACAAGAGGTGAGAGGGAGTCAGGAAGTATGTCTGGCTGTCTAGCAAACACAAGGCCTCTGTTTCACCTTCTGTAAACAGGGGTGCCCTGGGGTGGGCTCTAGATGCACGCTTTAAAAAGCTGTGTGCTAAAAATAATAATAATAATAAAAAAATAAAAAGCTGGGTGCTTCCGCGGGCAAGTGAGACCTCCTCTCCCGATTCTGGAGGGTTCCAGCTGGTACAGAGCTGGTGAGGAAATCCCCACAGGGCTTGAGGGTCACCCAGCCAAAGTCTGAGCCTCCTCTACCACCAGCCAGAAGGGAAAGAATAATAGTCTGAGGCACACTCAGGACACCATGCCACCCGCCCCCCAAAGTGGCAGCTCAGGTCCAAAAGCTAACCAACTCCAGAAATCTGCTTCCTGCTGAGTGTGCCAGGGAGGAAGATGGGGCTTCTGAGCCTCTGGCTTATGAAAAAATACAACAAGAAAAATTGTATGCGGCAGATTAGGAGTAATGGGTCTGTAAGGGAACCAGGGTAGGAAGGCAGGGCTCAGCACGGTGTAGTGAGTGGCCTGTGCCCCTAAGAGCCAGACCATGCAGTCAAGAGCCAGGTGGAAGCCACATCCAGGGTGACCTGCAGGAGCCCCGTGTACCATGTGCCTTGCTTGTGCTGAAATCAGCACAGGTGAAGGTGGCTGATGCTGTGTGTGCTGGACAGGCGCCAGGGTGAGCACTAACAAGCAATTCACAGGCCTTCCAAAATGCAGACAGAGGAGGCATTTCTTTCTTAAGAAGGGATAAAAAGGCTCAAAAATGCAAATCATTACCATTTACAACCAAGCGAGTCTACTAAATTGATTAGGACAGATTAAACTGCTCTGAGGTGAAGGGAAGGGGGAGTTCTGTTGACCTGCGAAGCTGCCCCAAGAGGCTGTCTATACAGCAGGGATTTTTCAGACCCTGAATGGATTGGGCCACCTGTCCTGCTTCTTCCCCTGGGGAACAGGGGTCTCTGAAGGCTGACATCCAAGTGGGCTAGCGCTCTGGGCCTGATCCCTGCTGGGGGTAGGGGCAGTCTGCTCCAGCCAGGGGCCTAGTGCCCAGGCCTCTGGTAGGGAATGGCTGCTGTGGCCCACAGAAGTCATCAGACACTGTTTTGGCCTCCAGGCAGAGACTCTGGTCCTGCCCTCAAGATTCTATCTGCCTCCAGGGGTGACAAGCCACATCACCTAGCTGCTGTGGTGGCAAACCTATGGCACACATGCCATGGCTGGCTGTTCATTAACTGAAACCTCTAAGAGGTTCGCCATCACTGATAAGAGTATGGTACCTGTTGTGAGATTGGCTCCTTGTGGCCAGTGAGAAGGTAAGCCCAGTGATGAAACTGTAGGCAGTGAAAAGAAACCCTGGGCCATCAAAGGAAGCAGGCACTGAGCTCCCCATTACTGGGAGCATCTAAGCACTAGGTGTGGATATGGCAGATACCTTCCAGTCTAAGATGAAGTCTGGTTCTTTGACTAAAAGATCCTGGTTCTCACCTTTGCTTTCTCTCCACCCCACCCCCACCCCCACCCAGGGGAGGAGGTAGAGCCACAGGCCACCCTTTCACCAGGGTGAACTCCATAGGGAGTGAGGAGGGGGCTAGCAGGGGTGGGCTGCTGCCTGGCAGCGCCACACCCCAGGCTGCCTTCTGGGCCTGTTCTCCCAAGCCTGGTCTGGCCACAGACATAACTGAACTCATGGCACAACACCAGCAATCCTTCCATCATGGCCAGCTGACGGCGCCTGGGGCAATGTTCACTGCGTGGTTTTGAAGCATTTACCAATCCTTTTGAGATGTTCCAAGTAGTTGCCTGAAATATCTACATTGGCTTCTTTTTAAAAACTGACAAAAAAGATT